TCCCATTTTTTAACTTGAAAAGTTAATTTGTTAGGCAAAGTATACTTTTCGGTGTTGTGATTTAAATTATGTTTTGGCCCTTGGAGCTCTCAAATGTGCTTATGTGGATGAAAAGACAGCCATTTGCAGACCTAGGCAATAGTGTATGCCTCACAGCCTTCACGTAAGAAAACTCTTGAAGCTAATAGTTATGTCCTAGATCCAGTCAGAACATGGGACTTCGATACTGACCAAAAACGTTGGCTTTAGGATCACTGGTTCAAATACCCGGTCTGCATCACTATGCCAAATATCAGTTTCGTCTCATAGTGACATTGAGTGTGGACTTGTCCGACTTAATTTCTGCAGGCATAATGTAGGATATTCTTCATTTTTTAAAATTCAAATAAAGCCTCTGCACAATTGGGTAAATGTGTTTTACTCCTCACGGGTTGATTAAAGGAATGTAAAGTTAACAGCGATTTTCCTCCCTCTACGCAATTCATAAAACACTGCACTCATAAGGAATGTTTTTACTTGACAAACTTGTGTAGACTGACTGGGGTGACTTAAAATGTCATCACCATCTAATCTTGCTGCAAGCTGAGGTATGGAAGACTTGAGCTGCGAACCCATGTTTTATATCCGAAGATGAATGTCAATTAAAGGCTTTAGCTACTGAAATTGCAAGTCGAAACTTTGTCGTTTTTGACTGAACCTATTTGTTTGTATCACGACCGTCACTTTTGGACCTTAAGTGGGGGGTGTTGGCACACCCCTCGCTTCTGGCCTTGCGGCTCAAGCTTGGATCCTTGTAGGAGCTGTACACCAGTCAGAAATCCATCTTCACAAGGGTGGTACCAAAGAAAGATCAGATGGGAATGATCGTTTTTGGCCTTTTATGTTGGTGCCTGCATGCTCCTAGGGTGCCGTCTCCCAGAGCCTCAACCCGTATCCCAGAATAATCTCCGCACGAATGACCCATGCCCAAACCAGGCTGAGACTGAAGACGTAATCTCTCATGAAATACTAAGGGAAAAAGCTTATCAAATAATGTCATGAAATTAATGCGAAAGGTCAGCGATATTTTCTTAAGTATATTTCTCAGCGTCGGTGGAACTGTTTTTTTTGTAAGGGTAAATTGTGGTAATATTCCGTTGAGAGCCGTCAGAAAGGAGGAACCGTTATGTCAGATATTCTCCTTTGCTTCTTTCTATTATTGTTTTTTTCTTGTGTCTCATAGTCTTCTTCTCTTTTTATCCTGGACTTAGGGGAGTCGAAAACTGATCGCGCCAATATTCCAGGAACCATCGGTTCAGCCCCGAATACCGTGACAGGCAGCATGGACTCGAGTCACGCGGCTACACCTACTAGCCAGCTGAAGGAAATGCCACATCATCAGCAACCACTGCCGGCCTCTAAAACCGCATCATTGCAGCCCACGCCCAGATCTGCGAGCGCTACCCATTTAGAGCCAGGGGAAAAGATTGTTGCTGCAACGGGGCCTCCCCTGGCGGAGAATAGCGAGCAGTCGGTAAACCCACCAATCGGGTCAGACAGCGAAGGGGGCACTCTGGTGGGCCATTGGAGCATGCGTAGCACCGCGGACACCATGGACTCGCAGATGCTTGGAACTCACTGTGTTGCGTGTCTGCCCGTCGTCGTCTGTCTGCGAAACAACACGGGTGGCGGCAATAGCTCAAAACCGGTTAAGGTGCGGCACTCCAACCAGAAGGCTAAGTTGCTTGTCACAAACACCCGCTCTTTGCCTCAACCGGACGAAAGGAGACGCAGTCACCACCATCACTCCCATCACAAGGCCCGCAAACATCACATTCAAAGAGGCGAAGGCACTGTGCTCTTCCGCAAGAGGGTGACCAGTTTGAAAAGCAGTACACCGGCCGAGGAAGCGGCAGTCCGTTACAACCTCAGTCTGACGGAGACCTCATCAGGCACGTCAAGTGAATCGGAATTTGAGGCAGATGTATGCTCAACTAGTGTGGAAACCAGTTCCTCTAGTAATTCTTCCACATCCCCTCGCCGTTCTCTTTCCCCAACATTACCATC